CTATGTAGCAATTTATCAATTGGATCAAAATTATCATAAGTTCTATCCAAGAAAGATAATTCATTAATAATGAGATGCTTTAAGTGTTTCCATTCTGTTCCATGTTGAAAACTCACACTTACGTGTCAACAAGTTAAGATCTTCATGTTTTACCTCTATAGACCCTTTGATGGAAACCTACTTCCCAAGGATCCCTTTGGAAGAGATAAGACCAAGAATGGTGAAGGATGATAAAGTTGGTTTGAAGAATTGTAGGACATTTACCCTTATTTTGTAGGGTTCCCTACCTTTGGAGGCATATCCTACCTTAAAGAACTTCTATTATTGTTATACATTTTTCATACTTGTAATTAATTTTAGTAGTGATTTGTGTTAGGATATTTTTGGCCTTGTATTTTAGGTCAAGTAGTGATGGAGACCTCCCTTCCATGGTTGATTGTGATGTGATGAAGAGAGTCACCTTGCCCATGATCTAGGTTCACCAAAAGGGAAAAGGATATGTGGATGTGAGGGTGAAAGATGGTTTTGGACGAAAGGTGATGAAGGGTGTAGGTGAGGTGTATGGATGCTCAAAAGGTTGGCTCACTCCAAGTGTAGGTGGAGGCCACTCTAGGGTTTCACTCTCCAAGGGTGGAGAATGAAGGTGGTTAGCCGAAGTTAACCTAGTGACTAAGGAAGAGATGTTGAGGCAAATAATGCTCACTCAATATCATATAATCCAAAGTATTTACAAGGTGTGGTGCATTGGGTATTTATAGGAGTGGGAGGCATCTAGGGTTGCATTTGGAGTATGCATGACCGAAATTCACAAGGCAAATGCACTCCAAATGAAATGCAAATTAACCCTAGATGCAACTTGGTGGCCAAGGATGGAATCTTTGAGTTTAGATTGGCTATATCTAGGTGCATGATAAGACCATGCAACCTTTGCCCTCCACTTGGGCCTAAGCCTTTCTAACACCAAAAATAGATCCAAGGAACACCAAAAAAACGTCACCCTTCTAATGTTAAACCCTAGCCCAAAATTAAAATCCTAATCATCTAGAGCACCCCATAATACAAGGGTAAAATGGGAAATACAAAAGAAAATAAATCCTATGACTAAGATACCCCAAAATACAAGGGTAAAATTGGAAATACAAGTAAAATAAATTCTATGACTAAAATACCCCAAAGTACAAGGGTAAAATTGGAATAAAGCAATAAAATTCTATACTACTCAAATTGGGCCTAGGAGATGGATCCATACATGGTATCTCTCCATTCTCCTAGCCATGAACCATGTGATGGGTCTCACATGAAGTACCAAGGATGGTCCTCCATCATCTCCTCCTTCTTGAGAAGGATTTGACTTCAAATCTTTAAGCTCTTCCATTCCATTGATCCTTCAAAAAGATGTGAAACCACAATTAGGGAAGTAAAATACTAAAACTTAGCTATGCAATCCTTAAGTACACAATTTGTTGAATGAAAGTGTTAGGGTCATTGAGGAATCCAAAAGGCATAACCATATAAGAAAGTTTTCAAAAGTTGTGGTGACCCCATGTAATTCATTCATCAAATTGTCTATCTTAGGGATTAGGTGCCTAGATTTTATTGGTGACTTTATAAATTGGTGCGCATCCTCTATTGCCATCTTTCTTTGGCACCAAAAGAATGAGGATGGAACAAGGGTTAAGGTTCTCTTGAACCTAGCCCTTTTTCTTCAAAGGAAAAATTCTTTTTTTCTTTTCTTTTCTTTTTGTTTTTGTTTTTGCTTTTCTCCTCCTCATCTTTCTTAGCTTTTAATTTGAGTTGGTCCTCATTCACTTGAGAAGGTGATAGAGGACACCACACAAATTTCTTTCCCAAGTGTTGGAAACTTATTTTATTGGTGAGGCCATCATGGATTATGTGCTTGTCAAATTGCCATGGCCTCCCAAGCAAGACATGACTAACCTCTAATGGCACTATGTCACACAAAACATTTTCTTTATAGTTGCCAATAGAGATTGGTATGCTTGCTTGTTGGTTAACTACAACACCTCTTTCCTCATTGATCCATTGCATTTTGTAAGGTTTAGGATGAGGTTTTGTAGTTAAGGCTAGCTTATCAACCAATCTAGTACTACAACAATTTGAAGTAGACCCACTATCGACAATGAGAGAACAAGTACTTTCTAAGACCTTGCATTTTGTTTGAAACAAGTTCTCTCTTTGTGATTGGTCAATTTCACTAGATTGATTGTTAAGGAGCCTTCTAACCAACAATAGGTCTCCTTCACAAGGTAAGATTTCTTCCTCGGAATCTATGGCTTCTTCTTCACTACTAGAGGAAGAAGAAGTAGCTTCATCAAGGCTACTATAGTGGTCTTGGGCTTTTAAAACCATAGTTTTCTTTGTAGGACATTGGGAAGCAATATGTCCTCTTCCAAGACACTTGAAGCACTTGATTTCACTTGACTTAGACTCTTTGGAAGGTGCTTTAAAAGATGATTTTTCTTTTTCTTTTTCTTTTTCTTTTTCTTCTTTGGGATAAGGTAGGGAAGAGTGGCCCTCCTTCTTAAAACTCTTGGAATAAGAGGGAGTGGAGTCTTTTCGAAAAGGTTTTCTTGTAAGTTGATGCTCCACTCTTGAGCAAAGTTGAACAAGTTCATTCAAATCTCTATATGGAAAAAGTTCAACTTTGTCTCTTATCTCAAGGTTTAGACCACTTTGAAATCTAGAGATTGTGGTCCTCTCTTCCTCCCTAATCCCAGCCCTCATCATTAGCAACTCCATAGATTGCCTATATTCTTCCACACTAGAGGATCCTTGTTTCAATCTTTGAAGCTTGTCCATAAGCTCTCGATCATAGTATGGAGGAATATGCCTCCTTCTTAAGGCACTACGGAGCTCATTCCAATATTGGATTGGGGGCTCATGGTTTATTCTCCTTTCTTTTTCTAAGGAGGTCCACCAATACATAGCATGCCCTTGGAAGCTAAGGGTTGCTAAAGAAACCTTCCTATCTTCACTCACTCCATGGCAAGAGAAAAGTTGTTCAACTTTCATTTCCCAATCTAAATAATTTTCAACATTATCTTTGCCATGAAATGGGGGAAGAGTGATGTTAGGTTCCTTATTGGAGGACTCCCTATGTCTATGTTGCCTTGGGGGTCTTTGATAGTAATCATCATTGTGATGACTACTATAGAAGATATCACTTGGAGGTTGGGTATGATGCCCTTCCTCCTCATGAACACTTGAGGGTATCATATGCCCCTTTCCTTTTGAGGATTTAGGAGAAGTGACTCTTGGTCTTGAACCACTAGCCTCTCCTCCCACAACTAGCCTAGCAAGCAACCTTTTTATCTCTTCATTATTTTTTTTATTTTCTCTTTCTTTTCTTCTTAACTCTTCCTCTCTTTTTATATTTTCCTATTCTTTTTTTCTTAGGTACTCTTTTAGTTGCCTTAGTTCATCCCTAACACTAGACCTAGAACTACATGAATTATGACCATCTAGAATGATCACTCATCTTTGATCCAAAAAGGTTTTCAAAAAGAGTGAGTGATAGAAAGGTTTTAACAAAATGGTTTTCAAGGTGCAAGATAGGTAGAAAAAGGCCTAAGTGTACAAAGTGAACTATCAAAGGGAGGTGGACTACTAGGAATCACTTAATAACCAAGCCTTATCAAGTAATAATCTCTAAGCCTTTTCCACTTTTCTCACAAAACAATTTGGCACAACAATAAAGTGTGTGTGTGCACGTTCCCCCTAGTAGGCAAAAGAAAGCCTTCTAAACGGAAATTGAGACAAAAATAAAGTCCTAAGCAATTATACTACTAAAAGCTTTAAAACATGCAAAAGGAAAGCACTTAAAGCATATACTAGTCGAAGTCCTAGGTGAAGGTTTTCAAATCACCTTCAACTACACGAACTAAAACCAAAATGAAGAGATTTAAAAATGGCCAATTACAAACCAAGATAAAGAAATAAGGCCCAAATACAAGTGGCCCAAAAGAAATCAAGCAAAAATGAAAAGACAAAAATTTTAGGTCTTCAACTCCTCCAATTGGGTTCCTTCACAATGAGAAAACTTGTTAGTCCTCTCCAAGTGTTTAAACACTCCTTTTGTTAGTGTAAATCCCTCCAAAGACTAGGTTTTGATTCGGTTCACTCCTCCACTCAAATCCACCAAAGGTTTGCTAGTTTGCTAGATAGGTTCTTCACCTACATTCAAAATGAAACCAACCCAAAGAGCAAGAGTCCAAGAAATAAAAACTGAAAATGCACAATTAGGAAAGGCTAAACTCAGAGAGAATTGATCGAGACAAAATAAAAGAGGCCAAAGAAAAGACAAACTAAAATTAAGACACAATTAAAAAGGAAGCACACAAAAGAGTAATCCTAGAATGACACTAGAATGGATTAGTGTTTAGTCCACTTGCTTAAGTCTTTTATATGATTCGGTCCAGCCACTCTTAAGGTCTCAAAATAGGTTCAATAAGGTCTTAAGTCCAACTCCCAAAAGCATAGGCAAAGGTCCAAGTCCACAAGTCTAGCAACAAGTCCTTTTTGGTCACTTTTTTTTTGTTATTTCTTTTCTTCCTTTTCTTTTCACGTCAATTTTTTTTTTTATATTCCTTGGGTCCAATTTCTTTTCTTTAATGTTCAGCCCATTTTTTGCTTAGGTTTTGCACTTGTGGGTGGGGAAAATTAGGTCAAATTTAGGAGAAAGAGAAAGGAGACAAGTGGCGTTTTCTTAGAGGGTTTTAGGGAATCTTTTTAGTGGAATTGGTTTTGTACTATTTAGGACAAGTTGTTTTTTACTAAATTTCCAGCACACCTATTAGATTCTTTTAGGGTTATCAATCATCAAATATATACCATAACAAGTGGAAATGCAAGGAAAAAGTGGGCAGCAATTTAAATGCATGTGCAAGGAAGCATTTTACACATGGAAACTCAAAAAAGATACAAGGAACATGCTAGGACTAAATAGCATGCATGAATGACTCCTAGATGGTATCTATATGTCACGCCAACTTTATATCATGCAACATGGTGTAGACCCCTAAAATTGTCCGGGTCGGAAAT